AAGGCAAAAGCAGTCGGCTTGTTTTATTGATAACTTTAAATTAGAACAGCCACGTCATTGATATGCAACGCGCAGTCATTTTTAATATAAATAACAGTCGCATAAATGGAAACTGCTGATACGATACAAACGATGGAGGCAGAAACGGGTTATAAAATATTTATGTCGCACGTTTTCACGAAATTATTTACAAGGCCGATGATTTTGTTCGAAAGATTATCAACTTTGTGTCGAACAATACGTAATTATTCGAAAGAGCGTAGAATTCATTGTTGATGCATATGGATATTTTTAAAATTATTAATTTTTGATTAAGCAATTCCTAGACTACAGATTTTATGTATTTGTAGTAAAAACGAATGAAATACAAAACGGTAAAAACGTGAGTTATATCGCTTTTAATTTATTAAAATGATTAAGATCAGAAATAAATTGCTACGTGCGTAGCTTCTGTAATTTTTCAAGTAACCCGGACAATTTTCATTCGACATGAAAATCCGCTATCTACTAATTCGAATATTAATTCGAAAAATTCACAGGATATCAAAGCCATTTAATTAACGATACCGAAACTAGAAAGTGAAAATTTACCGCAGGAAATATCGGTTCAGCTATTTTGTATTCTACAAATTCTAGTAACATTCAATTTGTCCAACATATTACAATAAAAATAAATTTCAAAAACCTAGTTAAAAATTCTAGTAACATTCAATTTGTTCAATATATTACAATAAAAATGAATTTCAAAAGCCTAGTTAAAAATTAGTGTCGCCCATACGCGACTCACGCGGCCCTGAACGTATTAATTACTATAGATCATAATGTATGCTTTCTCTGTAGAAAAACGTATTGAATTTTCGAGAAACGTTTATTTCGGAAATTCTTCTTCTCAAGAAAAGATCGCTCGTCATTGTTCCCGCAGCGAGTGCCGAAATAAATTTTGCACCGCAGGAACCGTGCGTCTATCGTGCAAGAGATACACTTACTTTCTTGAATTATTTTGTTTCGTGTCGCGACCCCAGGACCTAAGAGCCTATAGGTACCTGCACCATTTTAGGAGATTAAATCATCTTGGGGTTGGTCGGTTACGGAGGTAAGAAGAGCAGTAGGGAGAAGAAAGAGGCGGCTGAGGACGAGGAGGATTGGGGAAACAGAGAGCTGATGTTAGTTTTAGCTGATTAAATTACTAAGCCGCGATGGCCTTGCGTCGGCAGAGACCGTTCCTCAATTCGCGATCCATTCCTTTTATTAATCGGTTTCGAGTTGTCGTGACGTTGAATAAGTTTCGGAGAGACGAATCACCCAATCCGCGCGTTCTGCACTCTTTAATCGAGCATCCCCCCCGCATCGATTCGCTGCGAATAAACCGCCGACAGTTACGTGTTTCTATTTCTCTAAACACGAGCAAATCGAATTCGGGAAAATTGTACCTCCTAATAAACGCAATAAACGTTTCTGTCGACCGTTCTTCGACCGGTGTATTAACAAAATGAACGACATCGATCGGCGCACGGTTTTAATGCGATGCGTTGTAATATTTTATCGAATACGGTAATTTCTCCCTAATTCGCGCTCAGATTTCGCGCAATAATGGACAATTTGGGAAGAGGAGATACGAATATTCGATTATTTCTCGTTTTTATAGTTGTTGGCAATCGGGAACTGTAATAATATATAATATATTAATCGTATCTCTTCTTCCCAAATTGTCCATTTTTGCGCGCGTTCTCTGAGCGCGAATTAGGGAGAAATTACTGTAATAGAAATTTCCAGTACAGTAAATCCTTCCGGATTGTCCCTCAGCTTATAAACAAAAATGGACGATTTGGGAAGAGGAGATACGATTATAGGATTATTTCTCGTTTTTATAGTTTTTGACAATCGGGAACTGTAATAATATATAATATATTAATCGTATCTCCTGTTTCAAAATTGTCCATTTTTGCGCGAAATCCGAGCGCGAATTAGAGAGAAATTACTGTAATAGAAATTTCCAGTACAGTAAATCCTCCCGAATTGTCCCTCAGCTTATAAACAAAATTGGCGATTTGGGAAGAGGAGAAATTATTGTATCTGACAAGTTATTATCGGTGGACGAGATGCGCAAAATTTATCTTCTGTGTTTTCAATGACCAATTTCTTCGCGGAAGTAGACCTTCGCAAAACTAATATACTTTGAAAAATATAGAGTTTTACACTGGAAAAATAGCGCACAAGTATCAATGCTGCAACAATATTGTTAGCAATCTTCAAAGTCTGTGTTAATATTAATTATCGAGACAATGAATTCCATAAAATTACCAAAGTTCTCGTTCTTCTCTCTTGTTCAATAGAACTTATAAAATTTTACAGGCCTTAATATTCTCGTCCCTTAATATCATTCAAGCATTTTTACTGAAAATTTCATTTGTTCCTTTAATACGAGACAGTTTACATGTCGCAAACCTCTTCACTCTAGCCTTCGATTGAACGACACACGATTATGCCATTATTATGCTTTGTACAGTTAGAATACAGCAGCTGTTTTACATTCATCGAGCAGGACTGACTTCAAATTTAAAACAGAAAGAGACGTGTTTTCGATGAACGGGTGAATATAATTAATTCGTCAAGTTCCTTTACATTAGCAAACCCTTTGCACTCGAAGTCAAATCAACGCAAAATTTAAGATAATTTTTCTGACCCACGGTATTTCCATTTCACATAACCTGGTGCATATTATACATATGAAATTGTATCTTGCGACTCGTGCAACAGTTACGCTTTTAACAGTCCTTCAAATATAAACAAATTCGACTAATAAAGTTCTTTTCAACCGTGACGTAACAATTTTTAATAGCGCCTTGGAGTCGTCACTCGAGTATAAAGGGTTAAAAATCAAACGTTTAAACGTTCATGCATGCGGATATTCGCGATTATTCTTTTTAATTTAAGCGATCATTCGAGCAATAAGATCGATGCTTTCGATGGAATATTTCTACGCAGGGGTGGGATATACAGGGTGTCCCAGGTTTTAATGTTCAAACTTTGTCAGTGTATTCTATGGCACGAAGTAAGAAAAAAATGTTACGTAAACATAGGTCATACAGAGCTTTATTAAGAAGTTATAACAGAAATTCAGAACAGGAATAGTAATCAACTTGCTGTTACTGCGAGCATTGGCTCGAATAGATCAGCACATGCCGTGTGTTTATGTAAGCTGTGTTTATTAATACATTTCGAAATGTATTAATAACCGTTGTTGACAATACATGATTGACATCGATCAAAGATCTTTTTTTATTTTTTATTTTTTTTTTAGTTGATTACTATTCCTATTCTGAATTTTTGTTATAACTTCTTAATAAAGCTCTATACGACCTACGTTTACATAACATTTTTTTCTTACTTCGTGCCATAGAATATACCGACAAAGCTTGAACATTAAAACCTGGGTCACCCTGTATAGTAGGCGCGAAACGCGACTCTCGTGCCCGTAGGAATGAGTTCGAACCGAAAAGAACACCCCCGGCCGCATAAAGGACTTATCGCGGCCGTGATCGGCTCGTGTATTTGCGTTTGCTCGAAGGTTATGATCCGTCTTTGCTCCGCTATCGCTGCACAAGGATCTACGGTCCTGTGTACAGGGTCACAACACGTGGTTCGCGGACCGTGCGCAGGGTTCGCCACGTGGCGCAGATAACAGGATGGAGCAGACGCGCGACGGTGGTTGCTATCCCGGAGGGGTAGGAATCAACCCCCCGGAAAATTAAGTGCTTGTAGCTCAGATGATAACAGCGGTAGGAACGCGTCACTGCGTCTACTCGCCGAGAGTTTCCTACCACCACGGAAATGCCAGCCAGAACGAAACGAACGCGCCGCGCCGCGCCGGCTGCCGGATTGATTGCGCTCGGAAATTCTTTGTCCGGATTGTTGTTAATAATTCCACACCGTCTACGATATTGTATTCGTTGTACAGTGATGTCTCTCTAATTGACGCTCAGATTGTACAGAAAAATGAACAATTTGGGAAGAGAAGATACGATTATTTTTATAGTCGTTGACAATTTGTAATTATAATATAATAATAATATAATAATATATAATATAATATAANGGGAAGAGAAGATACGATTATTTTTATAGTCGTTGACAATTTGTAATTATAATATAATAATAATATAATAATATATAATATAATATAATAATATAATAATATAATAATATAATAATATAATAATATATAATATTAATATAATATATTAATGTTTGTGGACAATCTGAGCGTCAATTGGAGAGACATTACTGTAATTAGACCGCGGATATCTCGTTGCGCTAAATTAAAATTGTCTGCATCCGTTGGATAAAACGGCAGCTAAATGGACAATTATTTTCTCTGTTAATCGTTCCAGTAGGTTGCGAATAATGTACCAGTAATGTTAAATGATTCTATCGTTTCTTTTTTTTTCTTTTTTTCGTCCACCTATTTTTGTTACAAAACCATAGAATTCGCGGTCCAGTTATAACATACGTTGTAATACGTTATAACTATTAGACCGCGCGTTGTTGTGCGAAATAAAAATTGTCCACATCGATTGCAAGGAATAGAAACTAAATTATTTTACTAATTTACTATTTTACTAACAATTTTGTATTGAAATGCTACACATTTTTGCTATAAATGCATAAAAGCCGCAGTCTAATTTTATAATTAGACTTTTATTATGTTAAGCATATTTGCACTCGAGTGGCGACTCTGAGGCACCGCTAAAATTGTTATATCACGTCGCAAGATAATTTTTACATTATTCGCATTCATATATTTTCGATTCGTACAATTTATTGTCACTAATCGTGGTTAAATAAGTACATTAAATGGCGACGGAACAGTGGAGAAACGACGAACGTAATCGAGATGCGAAATCTCTTTGAAATCTTCGTTAAAAGACTGACTCGATAGCACATAGTAAACGATCAAATTAACTCCATTACTATACATAATTATAAATATTGCTACTCACTTGTTTCGTCGCCGAGTCGATCAGCCTAACGTAGATATCTTGCACCTGTCTGACACCTGTAACAAACATAACGAATGGAATAAATGAATTTGTTTTTACATACATTTTTATGTATGCTTCGTAATTTGTTTCTACGAGGCTGCCGATAATTATGGCATCGACAATATTGAAAATTCTTTTCTTTTGTACGATCCTTGTCGATCCTTCTCTCAAATTCTACTCAAACGAAGTACAGTAAATTCTCCCTAATTTTCCTTCAACTTGTTAATGAAAATATACAATTTGTAAATGCGATTATTCGAGCCTTGCACCTCGTTTTTATAATTCCTGGCTCGAATAATCGTATCTCCACTTCCCAAATTGTCCATTTTGGTTCAAAAGCTGAAGAAAAATTAGAGAGAATTTGCTGCAATTATTGTCAGCGTTGCGTCGTTTTATCCTCGATTAGAATCTTGTCTGATCTAAGAAAAATCTGTCGAATAGGCTAATGTTAACGCAGCGTTCGCCTCGGTTCGCTGAACCGAGATGGTCTCGGCCCTTTTTTTCCCCCGGTTAATATAAAGACAAACGCTACTCTTTATTCAATTTAGCCAGCGAGTTTTTCAGTAATCCGGTAAGAAGGCCCATTAAGTTAAGAACGTTGCGCGCAGGCATTTGCGACGGATGTGCATGGAATACGACGAATACGGAAACGAGTCCAAATTCTGACAAGTTGGGCGCCGCTGAAAGGGACTGTCCCAGAAAAACTTACATATTAAGGAGCATTTAAGGTGGACGGCGAGGCAGGCGGCCCGATCGCATCCCCCGGGGACGTATGCACAATCTCCGTGGTTTTTGCATGGGAGCACCGCGTATACTTTGTACGATCGAGTACCGACTGCACCGAGGAGATCGCTATGCAACGAACCACCGCGCCGCGGTAGGAACGCAAATTCTTGTACGTGTAGTGCGTTAATTATTTTTGCGACTTTTGCCACCGGAAACCCGTCGTCCGCTTCGCGGAATCGAGCAGCCCCTCCGATCTATATCACCTTCGTCAAAATCGAAGTTGCAACTACGTTATATTCGATTGGCAACTAAGTAATTGCCGATTTGTTCAATGAAATAACAATTTTTTTTTTACTTGGAACGAAGTTTAATCTGTAATGTATTTTCCATTTTGTTCGACGACCTTTTGCCATCTCTCCGACAACTTGAAAATTCCACGCTCGTAGAAAGTCTGATCCTTTTCGGCCAAAAACTGAGTTAAGCGAGATTTTACAGCGTCATCGTCGTTAAAAGTTTTACCACGAAGGGAGTTGTCCAGGGATCGAAATAAGTGGTAATCCGATGGCGCGAGATCAGGGCTATATGGTGGGTGTAACAACGATTCCCAACCAATATCCATGAATTTTTGCCGAGTGGACAAAGACGTGTGCGGCCTAGCATTGTCCTGCTGAAAGATGACACCTTTACGATTGACCAATTCTGCTCGCTTTTCCCTGACCGCTGCATTCAATTTGTCCAGTTGCTAACATTCGCGGATAATAAAAAATAACATAATAATAATAATAATTTTATAATATAACATTTACAGATATCATAAAAATGGGAGTGAGAAACGTCTATAACTGAAATCGGCAATTACTTAGTTGCCAATACTTCTGATAACAAGTATTCCGTTAAACAATATTTTAACGTTTATCGTTATTCGACCGCGAATAGTTTCGCGCGAAACGAGAATCGAACCCAGCTTCGATCGCGACAAGCGTTCAATAAAATTGATAAAGCGTGACTGATTTAAGCGTTAAATAACATTGATCTCCGTTCTCAATATTTTTAATCGGTTCGAAATAATCGAACATCCGTGCATTTGCTCCGTTGCATTCGACCTATTTATTTTTCTCGTAAATTCGTCGATTCCTCGGTCCGATTATAAATTATTCGTACATTTATTCGACGCGAGAGTTATTATTGATTTTCGTAGTTAATATTATTAATCGTCGATTTAATTCGCTTAGAAACACGATTTTATTCGTATTCGAATAAGCACTTTTTTTGCGACTGATCGTTGCACAACAGCGTCTGTGCGAGTGAATTTACAAAAAACAATGTCTAAAAATATAGGTAGAATTTTTTCTTCCTCTCGCATAAGCTCTATCTGTTTTGTTTATTGCATCGTTTGCATCACTGTTTCTAGAAGGGGCAACAATTGACCGGTGTTCCATAATGAGTACTTCGTTACCTCAGTCGAATCAGCACTTTTCTAAAAAAAAAAATGCTCGCCGACAGTAACAGGCTATTTTTCTGAACGACGAGGATTCTCGATGTGGCGCACGATAGCGGGGGTTTATTGGCTAGAGCAGGCAATTCTATCGCGCGATCATCTTCCGTATGCATTACCGCATTATTACTATCCGTTATCGGCAGGCGAACTATGTTCGATGTGTACCGGGAGAGAGCCCGGTAGCGTCGTGGCAAGTTTTCGAAACCGTTCGCCTGCCTTCCACAGGGAGCACCAGGTAATCCCGGGGTGTATTTTGGACAGACACCCCCGTGGCTTCCGGCCTCGCGTATCCGGTAAGCCAAGTAATCCCGACATAAGACTCCCAGGCGTGGTGGCTACTATAGGCCAGACTCACGCCGCATAACGTTACCGTGGATTACGATACTCCGCCCGAAACTAACTCACAAATTACCTCGAGAAACCGTCGCGGCTTTACCGGAAGATACTCGCTTGCCCCGACGGTTTCTCGCTCTCTCACTCTCTCTCATCCTCTCTCTCTTTCTCTCTCCACTTCGTCGGATAGTGCCGATATCAGCGTTTCTTACGTACCTATGCGCTATTCAAGTATGTTATGAGAAATGTTAACCCTCTCAACGTTGAAGCATTAAAGCACTCGTTTAAATGCAATTCCTTTTTAGGGAAGAATAAGAAAACAAGCTTTCGCTCATTACGAAACAATAATTAACCCTTAGCGCTCCGAAGGCTCCGAATTTGTTCCATAACTTCGAAGGCTCCGCTGCGGAGCCAAATTTTTTACCATACGTTATCGTCGGCGTTAGCAATTCTTATCTGTAGTAAAAACGTGCTGAGTCTGTACCATTACGATTAAACCATTTTTCGACCTTTTCTATGGTTAGTAACATGGAGAAAAATAAATATTACGGTGAGAATTTAGAGCCGAGCGATACCGAAGACGTATTTGATTTTGAAGAGTCAAAAGACATTGTGGAAGACAATATTGGTTATGATTCTGACACTTCGAGTAGTAGTAGCGAAATTATACTACCAAAGAGACGAAGGATGAGAATTATTGAAAGCGAAAGTGAAGATTCGTTACAAGACTTGGACGAATGGCGCGATGTTACGGAGGAATTACATACTCCAGATAGAATACCTTTTAGCGTATTGCCACAGGTCGTTGGACCACAAGTTCCTACAAACATCGAACAGCCGATACAATATTTTAAATTATTTTTCACGGACGAATTGGTAAATGAAATTATAAAGGAAACCAACGATTACGCAGAAAATGTTCTAAACTTGAAAGAAATATCTGGTAACTCTATTTGGCAAAGCGAATACTGTGACACTTGTCCAAGTAAACCCAGAATGCACATGGGAGATTGTTACCAAAGATATCGCACCATGGTGAATTACAGAATTTAAAATTGATCTTTTATTTACAATAGGAAAATGTATATTTATGAAATAAAAATATCAAATGCATTCGCAAGGACGTGTAATCTTTTCCGCTGAAAATAAGACTTCCTTTATCTCGGGCGGTCCGCTCCAAAAATGTGCCGAAGTTGCTGGGAGGCAGTACTCGAGAAACGCGCGGAACGCTAAGGGTTGGATGGTTATGTCAAGTTGTTCCGTGATGAAAAAAGTATAAATAACGTAGCTCTTGTATCCGATGAAAAGCAAAGAAATAGATCAGATAAAATGGCGTGCAAAATATTTGATTGGTCACAGGCTAATCGTTCGATCGAACGTTTTAATATTTTCTCGGTGTCAAAGAAGTGCGCGGAGCGCTAAGGGTTAAAAAGGTTGAGATTATTGTATTGTATGCGAGAGTATTGTACCTGCACGTATAGAAAATTCTCCCGAATCGACGCGCGGATTGTATACGAAAATGGACATTTGGACAAATTGTATACAAGAATGAACAAATGGACACAATTTGAAAAGAGGAGATACGATTATTTGCAGCTCATTTTTATAGTTACCGATTTCCAACAACTATAAAAATGTACATCGATTCTCAAAAAAGCATCAACCCTTTGCGCTGCAACAAAGAATCGCGACGATCTATTTCGTGCATGATCTATTAAATAAGAATATCGTTCGACTCTTCCAAATTCTAGGAACGAAAGTGCACGATGCAGCGCATGACTCTCGATCGATTAGGGAGATTCGTAAAGACGAAGAGGCGTTAAACGACGCGGCCGTGAAAGAAATTATAGCGCAAAAAGTGAATCGATCCGATGTACATATTAGTATAGCAAGTGCCTGGCACACCAGGATCAAAGGGAAGTTAGAAAATTCGGGGAACGTTGCTCCGACGATAATTGCCGACGAAGAATAATTACGAACGTTGGTTCGAACGAGTGGAAACGTTTGATAGAGACGACTCTAATAGAAGACGGTTGTATAGGAGAATATAACGGCTCGTAATAAGAGCCGCGCTGATTAAGGAACCCGATCGAACGAATCAAATGGGTGGTGTCTGGTTCTTCTCGATGTGTTTTTGTACATAGAGAAGTCGGTTGCCTAGTTATGCTAATGCGAGCGGACCTATCTGCCTGTTCTCAGCGGGACTTGGCACGCGATGCCGCTTCTTACGCGGCTTCTTCTCGATCTTTTGCCTTTATTGTCGTAGCTCCGAGCATGATCGCGAGTCGCCGCGATGCCTGTGATAAATGTACGCGCGTTCACGTGGTACGTCACAGCCTCGTGCTGGTAATCGTGTGCTCCCTTAAGATGCATCGGCGCACTTGCATAAATGAATTCATTTGTTCGAACCCGCTGATTTTATACCGTCCCGTTTACATACCGATCCGCCGAACAGAAACACGGAGACGATCTTCGTTATCCGATTGAACCGGATGCACGCTTTAGATTCATCGCTGTTTGCGCGGAGATTCGATGCGCGCCGAACATCGTAAGTAGACGGAAAGCAAACGTTTGTATTCGTAAAACGGGAAATTTCTTCTGGCAATAATTAAACGATAGCGTCATTATTGTCCGTCGATATATTCGCGTACGCTCGTTCGGAATCTTCGCGACGAGCTTCGCGATCTATAGTAAATTCTCCCCAATTGTCCGTCAGCTTGCAGACAAAAATGGACAATTTGGGAAGAGGAGATTCGATCGTTCCAGTCTCGCGGATTGTTTTTATAGTTGCCGATTGTCAACGATTATAAGAACGAGGTGCGAGGCTCGAATAATCGCAAAATTTTCAAATTGTTCATTTTTGTTGCGAATTTCCTGCATTTCGAAGTTGTCCAACGACCCGGAAAAATGCTGCGACTTATTGCACTTGGTTGCAGATCGTCGTAGCAATCGCAATTATTCAATATATGCAGTCATTCATTCATTGCTTCTACAAAATAGTACGCTTGTCTAGATAATAATTGTAGATAATAATTAAAGTAGGTTGTAATTCAACTGTCTGTAACATCACAATTTTTTAATCCCTCAATATTTCTCATTATGTATTTCGTATTAGTCTGACTCACCCTGTCGTTTTACTTTCAATCATCGTTCGATTAACGCTAGATTTACGAAACTCGTCAAAACGACAGGTCACTAATTTTTTAATTTACGATTACTCGTATCGTAAAGATACATTCACGAGTTATTTATTCAATTTATATGGCAAATGGCAAATGTGGCAAATGTTACCATAACAATTGTTAAAAATCGTATCAAATGTCTTATCGTTACTTTTATAAACTAGTATAAAACAGTTGTTTTTCGTGCTCCGTAAATTTAGCGTTAACCCTTTACTGCCGAAAAAAACCTTTCAAAATTCTCCGAAGTCGATCTTTTCGAAACACCTTACGAACGCCGTAGTCTAAAAATTGTCGAATAAAGTTCCACGATCCCGCTCCGTCTCGAACCTTATTCGACGATTAACGCTCGTCGATACGCTCGTTAAAAACTCGCAGCCAGCGGAGCAGACGTCGTCGCTTTGAAACGAGCACCGACCGGACATGTAAACTCGCCCGGCTCCCGAGTGCCCGTGTGTAATAGCCTCGTCGAGCGGCGATGACGGTCCATCAAGATTCCGGGCAGACACCCGGTCTCGGTAAACCGCTAAAAAGCTCAGGAACTTTCGGTGCTCTCCGATCGCAACAGAGACATATTTTATGTCACTGGCCCCGGCGCGCCGGCAAAAAGGACCGAAGCTTCCGTCCCGCGAAGAACCGGGAGAAACGGGAGTGCGTGAACGAAGCAGGGAAACGACAAGTGCGGCGAACGGGGGCCCCGGGCCGAAGAAGTCGATGATCTAGAGGTGGTCCCCGGGAACAGACCCCCCAAAAACGTGGCCGCATTATGATCATATTAAAAAGCCGCAAGGCGCTATCTGCCGGGTCTCGTTCCAACGGTTTTTCATCCCGTGCATGTCAGGGAACAAGATCGGGCTCCGCGGTGTTTTCTTCATCGGGATTTTTTGCCCGGTTCTCGTGGCTCTTTCTCCCGACTATCTCTTCTCCTCGTTTCTTTTCCGTTCTCTCTCTCTTACCCCGCTCCCTCCCCGCCGCTTCGCCCTCTCCGCTCACCCTCCCTTTCTCTTTTCTTCGGCCTGTACAGACACAGGGCACAGCGGAGGCCTTCTTGCCGGCCGCCGCGCCGCTCCGTTTCGAGCCGATCAATCAATGCGGGATTTTTGCGTTGGCAGAACTGACTGAGAAGGGCCGCCCCTGCCATCTACGGATACTAAAACGTGTTGCCAACATCGCAAACAAGAAATAACTAACTGTTGCAAACTACGGAATACCTGCGGGTGCACCTCCGGGATCGTAAATCCCTCGTTCTCGCTCCGACTTTCGTCGCGACCGCGGAAGAAGCTCACGCTTGTCGAAGATGCTCCCGGGAGCACCCCTATGTCCGGTTACCGTCCCTCCATCTGCCTTCCTCGATGCCACGTAATTTCGCCCGTCCTCCTCTTTTCGACAGCACCGAACAAACACCGCCGGCTAAGGTTCCGCCTGACAGATTTGTGTATTGCCGGATGATTCGACGCGAAATCCTCGAACGCCGACTTACCGCGCCGTTTCGACGTTTCGGAACGTACCGTGCTTGTCCGTGGACCGAATGTCGTGATTTCGTGCGAAACTCGGGACGAACGATGGAGATTCTTAACGGTTTGCGTCGGGGAACAACGGAGGCGGCCGAGATTCTGTCGCTGCGTTTTTCTCTCATTCTGTCGATGCTTCGATGCATGTTCTAGCACGAAATTGTCGAGGTACGAATTTCAGAGGGTGGAAATACGATTTTAACACTTCTACGAGCTGGTATCTACAGTAACGTCTCCCTTACTGACACTCGGATTGTCCACTAAAATGGATAATTTGAGAAGAGGAGATTTTTCTAGCCTTGAGGCTCGTTTTTTATAATTGTGAACAATTTGTAACTCTAAAAATAAACCGCAAGGCTCGAATAATCGTATCTTCTCTTCCCAAATTGTCCACTTTCGTTTCTAAGCTTAGTGTCAATTAGGGAGACATTACTGTACGTCCCGCGCTGTAGTAAATTCTCTCGAATTGAACCTCAGATTGTCCACTAAAATGGATAATTTGGGAAGTGGAGATACGGTTGTTCGAGCTTTGCGGCTCGTTTTTATAATTGTGGACAATTTATAACTATAAAAGTAAACCACAAGGCTCGAATAATCGCATTTCCTCTTCCTAAATCGTCCATTTTTGTGGACAATCTGAGCGTCAATTAGAGAGACATTACTATATTCTGGACTTCGACATTAGAAAAATTCATTTCTTTTGACTGCATTTTCCCCGAATATACAGGATGTCCCAAAAATGTCTCGCAATCCGAAAGCAGGGGATTCCTGAGGTGATTCGAAGCAACTTTTTCTATAGCGAAAATGCAATTCGCGGCTTCGTTTACGAGTAATTAACGAAAAACAGTGACCAATCAGAGGCGAGATCATTTGACGCGAGACGGCCGAGCCAATGAGCGGAACTGGGCTCCGCGCACTCGTTGGCTGAGCCGCCGCGCGCCAGCCGAGCTCGCTTCTTATTGGTCAGTGTTTTTTGTTAATAACTCGTAAACGAAGGCTCGGAGAACATTTTCGCAAAGGAAAAAGTTGCTTCGAATGACCTCAGGAACCTCCCATTTACGGATTGCGAGACATTTTGTAGAAATAATGAAATTGTAGAAGCTACGATTATGTACAGTGAATTCTCTCCAATTGTCCCTCAGCTTGTAAATAAAAGTGGACAATTTGGGAAGAGCAGATACGATTATTCGAGCCTCGCGGCTCGACTTTTTATAATCGTGGACAATTTGTAACTATAAAAATAAACCGCAAGTCTCGAATAATGGTATCGCCTCTTCCCAAATTTTCCACTTTTGTGCGCAATCTGGGCGCCAATTAGAGAGACATTACTGTACTCTTTAAAGAAAATGGTCGTTTTAATTTGCAATTTCAATCGTGGAACACTTCGGACGGCCGCCCGCGGCGCCCGCGATAATAAAAATAATTTAAAAATTCATAGACAGATGTATCCGATGAGTCAGAATTAATATCACCAGTTTATTACTCACCGTTGGAGTAGAGCAGATGCAAGCTGTATTGGATTCCATTGTTCGTTTTTTGGCCTTCGGACTCCTGAAAGCAAACATACAACGTTTACGATTTTCTACGATTCAATGTATTTTTATTTGTTCGTTTATTTGCCTACGTATTGTTAAAAAATACTCGTCTACGGAGGCATTATACAGAAATGAATGTTTAGGTGAATTCGAATACATTTCTGTCGATTTTCGAAGATATATTTTTTAATGAATTTCTTCGAAATTTAGACTTAGAGTTAAATAATTTGATCAAGTTTTTGAAGAGTTCGGTTAAAATAGATGAACACATCACTGTAAAAAAGTTAGCACTGTTTGTAGCTTAACATTTAATTTCAACCTCCATAAATTGCAAGCAGAAGAGTTCGATTCATGCTAAAATCTGCAGTTTGTTGCTTATCGATCGCGAAAGAACAAACTTTGCCATATCGACGTTACGTCCACGTATTTAGCCTCCGAAGTTGCAAATAAATAATTTCTCTTTCCTCAATGTTTAAGACTTCCTTGAACGGTCAAATTTTCTAAATAAGATATTAGTTACTCTATCGATCCAACGATTATTGTAATTCCTAAGAAATTCGCTAATTTCATTTAACAATCGTTCTAGCATCACGAGAAAAGCTCCGATCGCGCGGCTGAATTTTCTGTTGCAGTTAACATAAACGTTTCCTTCTTACTTGTAAACCGATATCGAGGATCGATCGAGAAAATCTTGGGAGCCGAAATTAGATTTTCCGAAGACCGGCGCGGCGAGGCGACGACGGCTTTTACGCCGGCGAAACATCGAGCCGGCGACACATTATTTCATTAGGCTGATATAAGCGAAACTGAACGTTGAATCTCGTTAATCTCGCTAAATTTCGTGCTCCGCTTAAATCGGTTCAAATGAGCGGGACGCGAAGGAACGGAGAGAGCCGCCGCCCCCGCGCGTTCTTCGCGCCCCGTTCTATTTTAATTAAGTGCACCGTGACGTAACTCTCGCGCTCGGCCTGTGCTCCACCTCACGCTAATTATTAATTTCTTGATGTGCCGGTAAGAGCCGTGCCATTACGTATGGCGTGCGATGCATAATTATCATGCTGCCCTGTTGACGAGTCATGCGTGCATCGCGCCATATGCCGCGACCACGGTAATGCATTTTCAACTACCTATCTCTGGAACACCTACGACTGGAACACCCCCCGGTCGAACACGACTTTCAGCCTTGCATACGATCTTCGGTACCGGTCGCATCGATTTTACGCGAAATTAACGTAATTAGCCCGGCCGATACCGTTGCTGGTGGAAATTCAGTCCCGCTGGATTTTTATATAACGGCGTTTCGCCCATCGATTCTGCGATCTCTGCGAAACCAAGATTCACGAGTCAAGATTTATTATCGACGATGTTTTGACAGTAATTAAGGACGGCCAACTTTGTGCGCATTATTATTTTCAGATTTTATCTGTACGGTTTATCTTAATCACGAGGAATCTTCTGTCGAGTGATAGAAATTTTTCATTCATTCCAGTTTTCACAGAATCGATGTATTGTTCATTTATTTATAGTATTAGCTGTATTTCTAGTGATAGTCTTATTTCTATTAATTATAGAAATAAGTATTTTATTTCTAGTAATTATACTTGTTGAGAGAATAGATGTTATTCTGTCCTTTAAAATTGGAATAAAATTCTGATCTCTTGTTATTAATATTTAAGCATTTAAATAAAAGCCGCGCAATAAGCATCAATTTTTTTTCTCTTCTAAGAAATTATTGCAATTGAAGAATTTCTGCAGCAATTCAAAGGGTTTAATATTGGACTTTATATTGGACAGATATACTATAAAATGCCTAAAGATAAAATGATTAAATATTTAACGATTCCAAATGTGAGCTGAACAATCTTGCTAAAAAATTTAAACATTTCTCTTGTGCTTGAAAAGTTGCAGATCTCGATATAAAAAAGACGATTCCTGAATTTATTTCAGGAATAAATCTCTCAATTTTCCATCTGTCGTGCTTTCGAACGAAGAAGACAGACGAAACATCGTGACACAAAAATGATCTAAAAAGATATTTAGAAACTGAAAATACTTGATTTCCCGCATCTAACGTATACCGCGAAAGAAAAAAAAAACGTATCGAACAATTTCGTAAACCTCCGCGAAGAACAGCGTCGCACTCGATCCTAAAAATAAAATAAAAAAATAAAACTAGAATAAACTAAAATAAAATTTCAAATAAAATAAAATTTCGCAATAAAAATTCACTGAACATCGATATGAGAAAATTAGGTGTTTGTCAAAAAGTCACTAGAATATTCGAGATCCTAAAAATAAAATAAAATAAAATAAAAATAAAATGAACTAAAATATCGGCCCACTGTGCGTCAGTGCCTTAGGTAACATGATCGAAGAAAACGCGCGCCGATTAAACGATGAAACGAAGCCTCGCGTTCGGCTCGAAAAGAAAAAGAAAAAAAGAACACGAAAGTTCATCGCGGAACGAGGCGGCACGATTGGACATCGAATATTCGTGGCGGAACAAACAAGTCCGAGTGGGTAAACCCGTCGATATCGGTTTCTTCAAAGTAACGGAAAGCGCAGTCCATTTTTCTCTAATCGCGGCGCGCCGGGTAATCATCGTTCGCTCGTCATCGGTGCCGGGCATCATTCTTCCGTTTTTCCTTGGCCGTGTGTTGTGCGCGCATTAAGCTGCTCTTCCTGTCGCGAGCGTTCGCCGGGGCCATTAATCTCGAAAATTCGCAGGCGCACGATGGACGTTAATCAGGTATATCGACCGATCCACGACTACTTTTTAATTAAACACGGACAAAAAGCGGATAGAATGGAGAACGAACACGGCGACCCTGTATTTACGTAGGACATCAGTTTCCGGGAATCGTGCGGCTGTCACGGCCGGTGCGGCTCGGCTCGGCTCGCTTCGACTGCGCCGACTTTTATGTCCCCGATTCCCGGCCAATGATAGCCGTCCGATTGATCGTTGCTCGTCCCATTGAATAATTTCACGGAAATATCTGTATTAATGTTACCGTGTCTTCGGTTAGATAAGCCAGGGTGAGAACAGGCGTTCCTGCGCTCAGACACAAACGGCTACTCGACACTAGGACTGATCTATGCTCGAGGTGTGTGACCCTAATTAATAGGGAGGCCGTGCAATGCAACTGTCCCAGTCATGTGAATTATAGATAGACATGCTCTTACCGGGGAGGGGAGGAGGGGGGCACGAGCAGTGGAGATGTCCTGATAAGCGATGCAAATCGAAGCGAAGGAATAGAAAGGACATTTGTTCAACCACTTGCAAACTAAATCGCTATTGTTGCTCGTTTGGACGATGCAGTGATGTCTCTCCAATTGACGCAAAGATTGTCCAGAAAAATGGACAATTTAGGGAGAGGAGATACGATTATTCCAGAGCCTTGTAGCTCGTTCTTTATAGTTGTTGACACAATTCGTAACTATAAAGTCGAACCGCAAGGCTCGAATAATTGTATCGCCTCTTCCCAAATTGTCCATTTTTGTGGTCAATCTGGGTGTCAATTAGAGAGATATTACTGTACAACGTGTTCGATGATAGAGAATTCAGGCGTTGGAAATTCGGATAATCAAGATTCTACTATAGACGCTACATACAGTAATGTCTCTCCAATTGACGCTCAGATTGTCCACAAAAATGGTCAATTTAGGGAGAGGAGATACGATTATTCGAGCCTTGCGGCTCGTTTTTATAATTGTTGAAAATAGGTAACTATAAAAACGAATCGCAAGGCTCGAAAAATCGTATCCCCTCTTCCCAAATTGTCTATTTTTCTCCACAATCTGAGCGTCAGTTAGGGAGACATTACTGTACATGGCGGAGCGAACAACCAAATTGGTTAAATCGAACAATCCGCGATCTTTTGCGAAAACCCACCGAATTTTTGCGCCTCGTCGTTACCTACGCGTGTCTCTCGTTTTCTTAATACAGTAATGTCTCCCTAACTGACGCTCAGCTTAGAAACAAAAGTGGACAATTTGGGATGACGAGATATTATTATTCGAGCCTTGCAACTCGTTCTTATAATTGTTGACAATTTATAACTA